TAATTCAGGCCAACCTTTGTACAGCAATCATAGAGATCGTGCATCAGCGTTCCTAAGAATGCGTGCTTAAACTAATTATTAGAGCTCCAGTGGAAGAGATCAACACAAACATCCGACGAAAACGATTAAATAAACCGATCATACAACTCATTCATTTAATCAAAACGCCTGTTGACATTATATTATCATTCTGCCGATTGGTTGATCCGACATTGAAAACGGGCATTTAGGAGCGATTTCTTGTCTAATATCTTAGATACGTTATTGATTTTTCACTGTATCTTTATATGGTGTTATTAGGCATTAAGTTAAATCAGTTAAATCATAATAAATACATACATATGTAACTTATGAATAAATGTCGATTGTGGCACAGAATCATTCAACGTAACGTTGCATAATACGAGACATTGATTGTGGACACGCCTTCCACTATTGGTACGCATAAGATGTTCATTGCTACACTGGGTATTACAATGTAATTTAGCTCAGTCAGTCATCAGCACTAATTGTAATGCGGCACTGCACAAAATCGAGTATCACGAATTAGATTGACCGCGGTGCAGTTTAAACAATTTCCAAGGGGTGTATATTAATTAGGTGTGAATACTGCTTGTCACCGTGTCCATTGAAGAAAGTTGTGGGCGGTATTTTTTTTTGTCAGACAACCAGACTAGAAAATAATAGGACTAGATTAAGGATATTAAAAAATAAAGCTATCATTATGCGTATTTTAATATTTAAAAAACGAATGATACAATATATATTTTTGTTCATTATCATTACATTAATTAGCAGATAGTTTTGTCACTTATTTCAATCATTTCCGACTATACACCATTTGAGCAGATGTATGATTTTGACGATGATTCATTTTCAGCTGTACAACCTTTTATCATCCTTAGAGAAGGTGCAGTCTAAGATTCACGGAGAGACAATGACGTCACATGCTACTCGCTCGAGACGGAAATTCAATTGTAAACACGATTCACATCTTTCTCTATTATCGCGATAGCGTTATACCCACAACGGCATCGTAAGCGTATGTTTGTCCAGCAAGACTGACGCGTCAAAATAATGCCTGTGGCAAAATAGGACCCATGATATAGATATCATCTTGCTGTAAATTTTCTTGTGTTTTCCCAGATACGAATCGGTCGTAGTCAACCAAAGTCTAATCGATACATTCCGCAAATTAATGAATAGTTTTAACATCCAAGAGAAATTATCGTATCTTTTTTGTGCAAATCACTGAAAGTATGTCATTTGATAAAATTATTTCATTTCTAAAACATTTGTTTTTCCCATTGCATATCTGTGGTGGCGTCGAGACAAGTAGATCTACGTGACGCAAAAAACATCACTACCTTATTTGTTACATTTCCAAAGCATGCACATCATCAATCCAGGTGACCTTTGCTTGTTTGGTTAATTATATTTCGGTTCGGTTTTGAAATGCACATGCTCATGACAAATATAAATGATTACAGCCTGCAGCACTAGTTATAATACTACTGATAACATTGTGGGACGGTGTATTCGATGGCATTATACTGATATCAAAGAGTACGTGAATCATATGAAATATCTGCATTTATGTCATTATAGTGAAACCCCCCGAGCATTGTAATTGCCTAACGCATACGACCTGATAAGAAACAAATTGAACTGTCAATGGAATAATATTTCTACAATATTATTCGCGTACTGCACATCAAAAGGAAATTCAATTTGCGTCAAATGTGTTATGGTAATATCAATCAACCTGCAGAAACCTATTCAGCCCCGTGACCAACCTAACAACTGATAACTAACTTTAAACAAAATCAAACTATCGGTCGATCGATATTCACAAAATATATTTCATATGTACAAACACCCATACTAGGACTGTAATACTGCCGGCGCCAGCCAGGTACTTGGATTTAATCAACAAACTTCGAAGTGGCGTCAACTTCTCCGCGCAAAATCAACAACATTGCCAAGTTGTACAAGAAGCGTGGACGCAAGAGCACC